AGTATGGGGCATACAAGTCAATCAAATTTATGTCGGGTGTATAAGCTTCAGAAAAGGCAGTTCGTGTGATTTCCTCTGACAACTTTAGCCAATCGTCGTTTGAACTGTTCAAAAAACATAGTATCTTGCCTATCGATTACAGAATTTCATATTTTCTAGGTATCGTAATGTATATGGCAACCAATGGCTTGGCGCCTTTATATATAAGTGAAATGTTCAGTCCTATCTCCCAAACCCACAAGTATAGTACACGTTCCTCTCTTAAAAATAATTTACGCATTACTAAATGGAAAACATCCATGGGTCAGAGGACGTTTTAGTATAGAGGGGTAACCCTATGGAATAACTTGCCATTCCATATCAGAAATTCAGCCTCTTTAGTCATTTTTAAGAAAACTTACAAAATTTATCTTAGTGAAAAATTTGTTGTAAATGGCTCAAGCCTATAGTGTTATATTGTATTTTTTGTCCCTACAGAGGGCCCAATGAAAATTACTTTATTGTATATTGGCCTACCCTCTTTAAATAAAGTGTTAAATAAATTAAAAAAATTAGGTCAATATTCTTATATTGCCCGCAAGTGCAATTTATTGGAAAATAGGTACATTCTGGGTATTTGAATTTATGAGTACGCTTCCACCTTAAAATAATATCATGTTCATGAACATGAATAAGAAACCGATATTGAATATGATACTCGTTTTAGCACTACAGTCGTAGTCAATTTCTTTCAAAATATAATTGGACATATTTGAAACAAAGATCATGTCTTGAGTCTATGTTAATAATTGGTCACAGTACCATTGGCTGTTTTCGTGGGGTCAGATGCAGAACTTCGATTTCAGGGGAAATATATATGTCATTAATGCCCCTGGAGTACGCAGTATAATAACGGATATGTAGGTGCTTACGTGGTTTACGTAATGAATTATTTTAAATAAATAATTAACTTTGCAATGGGGTTCAGGGTAGTCGCGTTCGGGAAACGAAAGATTTTCATGATTAAATTTGAAATGGCAAAAAAGGGGAAATAAAAAGTACTGTTGTCATACATCTTGTTTCACAAGTGGTGGGGATTATGCTTGTCGAATTAAAACGTGTCGTTATCCGCCAACTGCCTGACGACTGCCGTCACCGCCGAACAACGACAGATGTTTATAAGTCGTCGTAATCGTTAAAATGATAGTTCAATCACGATTATATGTTGACCATTTTACGGATTGGCTCTACAAAATGCCAAGTATAAATGTCCCTGAGTTTGAGTTTTTTTTGGAGAAGTAAAAAAAACAATGAATAATGCATGTGGAAATATACATTATTCTGTGGTATTTTACTCTTTTGATTTATTATGTGTGTATGGCGACGTGTTCAGGTCGCCATTTTGTAAATAAATGTCCTAACCAAATGTGCCACTAAGGTTACTACATACTACTGTAAAATGGCTTATTTTCACTGGGTTTAAATTTCGCTGATTTACCATTTCAGGCATATTCAGTAGGTTTTAAATTCACGGTTTTATCATTTGAATAATGTGTTCTATGCTAAACTTTTACATATTCACTGGGTTTTAATTTAGCGCATTTTTCAGTCAGCGAAACATAGTTGTACCAAGAAAAAAACATACAAATATTATACCTAGCGACGTGAACATTCTACTATAATAATGCATATTTATTAGTTAATGTATTTCGTTATTCGATGAAACCTGACACGACAGGATTGTGTGCAGTTTAATTGCAAAAGCTGACCGTTGGCGGAGCTTGGATATACTTGTCAGTGGTGTTGTCAATTTCGGATATTTATTTGGTGTATTTGTATTAGTAATGAGTTTATTTTAAGTACCACTACAAAAATGTATCAAACAAACGAAACGTTCTCAATTGGCAGCTAAATCAACACCCTCAATGTTTTTATTATTTATTCATTATTTATATATTAAAAGTGCTCAAATTGGTTTGTAAAATTATTCACATCCTCTGGATAAATACACTGCATAACTCATGATAATTTGATGCCGCACCTGATGTGCGGATTATCTCCAAAGCACGGTAAATACATAGCTATAATAGTGAAGAATAATGGTACTATTCGAGCATCGCGGTATAAGCATAACTCCTTTTATAAATGAACATCTATTACATTATTAAGTGTTTTATTAATGGAGTTAGTTCAAATCAGAACTTAAAAATGCACTTTTGACGATATGTTTATAAAATATTCACAGCAATTATTACGGGTCCGTAATCCACAAATTGCCCGATTTTTTTTTTTTAGTGCACCGTTGTTAACTATAAATCGTACTCCTGCGCACGATTTTTGTTTGTTTTATCTCCGATCAGTATTCGTACGTACATGAACAATTAATTGTTTTACCTTAACAGCTATGGAATCATTAATTGCTGACGCACCATCTGACACGGTGTCCGTTTTGTCATTTATTTGCTTTGCCGCGACTGTAGTGTTAGAGATCGCCTCCTCGAGTTCCTTGGTAATATCGACGTGTTCCAACCCACGCTCGACGTTCGTGGTGACCTCAAGATCTTTCACGTCTCGATGATCACCATGCTGTGCGATTGGTTTTAGTTCGAATACTTCGTTCAATTTTTCGGTCAGTACATCCACCTCGAAGTAAGCTACAAACGCCCCAAACACTAGAACGGCATACAGAAAACGGGAAAGGCGACAAAAACGAAGAACTGCCATTTGAAACAGTGTTTACCAGTTTTACGAACGAGTCGGCTGTTATTCGTGATGGCGCATTAGATAGGTGCGGAGTCGCTGCCCGTCATCACGGCACTCTCACAAAACACATCTAATGCGCAAACAGATGTTACAATATGTAATTATTTCGTTGTCACCACGCGTGTGACACTCGTTCGAAGGTAAACGGTCATTATAATTTATTTATTTATTTATTTATTTATTTATTTATTTATTTATTTATTTATTAATTTATTTATTTATTTATTTATTTATTTATTTATTTATTTATTTATTTATTTATTTATTTATTTATTTATTGTATATCAAAATCAATAGTTGTGTAGTAGAAAAAACATTTTGTTTGCCTGATTGGTATCTAATTTGTTAATCTAGTACAACAAGGCACAACAAGGGAAGAATATATGTAGAACTCTACAGAATCTCTCAGGTATCGGCGCAAAGAACACGCCTCCAGAGACGCACACAAAGTAACACCCCAGCCAGTACAATGGGAATTACCTCTAGATGTGATAATTTAAAAGCGACGATATCGATATTCCCGTAATTGAGTCGTCACTCCGGGTGGGATGTACTTGCCTGGATTTTGGGTGGGAATGCTTTACGGCCAGTTGAAAACTGTGCCCAAAATGTTCGACGTTGAGGGCGCATTTGGCTAAAAAAAATAGCGTTTCCGCCGAAAAAAGAAAATAAAATCTCAAAAATGGGGGGCAAAACAGCGGCGCATACCCCATACAAAGTGAGTAACCCATGGAATGTCACTAATATTAGTAGAATCACACCACGGCGGCACACTAAGAGTGCCCTCCTATCACAAGACAACACATTGGTGACATACTAAATGTGTGCACTTTGGTAAAAAAAAAACTCATTAGACATGATAAACTGTCACATCGGTTGGATAAATATATCGGTTTGTGTCATGGTGCACACTTTCAATAAAGTTGTTCTCAATTTTGAAATAAAACAAATACAGTAATTTTAAATTAATAGTTCACCTAGCACACAAGGTATAGTGTATGCACGAGTTCAGTTTCTTGGAGGCACCTACGAAATTAAAATGGTCGTCGCGCATCGTGTGTTCGAGATTCATGTAAACAATTTATTTTATACGCGTTGTATACGTTGCCACAAATCCCATATCGAACAGGATCACCGCCCTTTAAACTTAAAATTGTCGGTATCTTATTTCACTATATTTAAATAATGTTGTCTTATGAAAAGTGCTTAGATACACCCCCCCCCCAATATATATAAAAAACAACATAAACACAGGAAATCTGAATTCTGTGTCAGTCATAGCCACGAGTATGGTGAGATATTGTGAGCCCGTTAGTTTCATTTAGAAAAAAATCAGAAACAGTAATTCAGATTGGTATTTTTCAGTCACTTAGAAACACAATAACCCTATACTGATATTTAATTTTAATTCTGTCTGCGCCAGTGAAATCTTTTTTTTTATATTATAAATTGGTTCGTTGTGAATACTACATGCATTCAAACAATGGAAACCCGTGGGCACAATGACAAATATCAAACGACAAATGCAACACGAGAGTTCAGAAATTATGCTACACGGAGAAAAGGCGCGAATCATTCCATACATCCAAACTTAATTTACGAACGCAGCGAGAGACCACACTCACACGTGATCATGCGTATCGGCGCCATATTGAGTAATAAAAGAATTGTAAATATCCTTCTTTGTCATACTATGATGTACAATGGCCGTTTTATGTCCATTCATCATTATATTACGACTATCCATCATTAATTTACTAGTCTCTATATGAGAGCTGTGGATTAAACTCAATGGGCTAATCGAATTGGACCCCACTTAGAATAAAACCCTCGAGTGCAATTAATCGGTAATCCGGAGAATCCGGCGTTTTTATCTCAAGTTATATTCCCCTTCCCCGAGTCAAATTTGTTTTTTGCAAAAAGTAGGCCGTCTAAAAATACTGTGTTAGAACCAAGCATTCTGAACATTTTGTCCCTAATTTTTATTGACATTTCCTGTACTCAAACAATGTATGGGTTGTCCAATTTGGAATCCTCCTCCCATAACAACGTCTACTTAAATGTCTAATCTCTCAAAAACTCAAAAATCACAAATGGAAATCTAAGGATAAAGATAGAAAACATAGTTCTAGCACTGAAACTGAGTTGAAGAGTGCTTGAGGTTACACGAGCCAGTAGGGAACGTAGTCAGAATTTGAGACACCTACTTCAAGCTGTAGTACGGCAACCGAGGTGGCTCACAACATGGCATTTTATAAAACCATTTTCCATTATTTAAAATTCATTTTTATTTATAATCCTTTTTTAATAACCATTTTCGTTCTGAAATTTTTAAAGCCCATTTTTGTTTCTGGGTTCTGTCTTTATTTAAAAAAACAAAACAATTTTTTAGATCAAATTTCATTTTTGAAATCTGATTTCAATTTTAAAATCAATTTTTGCTTTCAAAATCTATTTTTTCGTTTCCAAAATCCATTTTCGTTTTCAAAATCCGTTCTGATTTTTAAAATCCATTTTCGTTTTTAAAATCCATTTTCGTTTCAAACTCTGGTTTCCTTTTTTAAAATCCGTTTTCGTTTTTGTTGACGAAATTACATAATGTATGGTCAAAAACGAACAAAGTAACATAAACTGTCACAAACAACAATAATAAATAAAACCAAAAACATGTTCAACAGTTAGCATAAGTATGAAATAAGATATTATAAATAAAGACTCCCAGACTGTTGGCAATGAACTCAACACTTCCTTAAACATGATCTGCTTCGGCAAACTTTGAAATTCTTCATTGTGCATTGAGATTGATCTCATAAATTGGCACCTAGCAGTTTCCATCTCTGGGTTCTAAGAAAGCACATCACATTACAGATTTCAGATCCATACATTAAGATCACAACAGATCTCTTAAACATGTGGATTGCATTACTCACTGATAAATAATGGTTATGTAAATTAGTGTCTGTTGAAGAATCCCTATTGCCCGTTGTGCCTTCATCATTGAATTTTCAATTGCTAGTATATATGAATCAACAATCTGAATTTGATTGTTCCCTAAATAAAAATTACCATAAGTAAATTTTCCCTGCTTATTAAAGCGGAGG